CCAAGTTAACATAATTAGATTAGTGTTGAATATACATGGTAACATTATCAGATAAATGTTGAATAGACATGGTAACATATTCAGATTAGTGTTGAATAGACATGGTAACATAATCAGATTAGTGTTGAATAGACATGGTAACATAATCAGATAAATGTTGAATAGACATGGTAACATAATTAGATAAATGTTGTATAAACAAGTTAACATAATTAGATTAGTGTTGAATAGACATGGTAACATAATCAGATTAGTGTTGAATAGACATGGTAACATAATCAGATTAGTGTTGAGTGTTGAATAGACATGGTAACATAATCAGATTAGTGTCGAATAGACATGGTAACATAATTAGATAAATGGTGTATAAACAAGTTAACATAATCAGATTAGTATTGAATAGACATGGTAACATAATCAGATAAATGTTGAATAGACAAGTTAACATAATCAGATTAGTGTTGAATAGACAGGGTGACATAATCAGTTAAGTGTTGAATAGACATGGTAACATAAATAGATAAATGTTGTATAAACAAGTTAACATAATCAGAGTAGTGTTGAATAGACATGGTAACATAAATAGACATGGTAACATACTCATATTAGTGTTGTATAAACAGGACAGCATAATAAGATAAATGTTGTATAAACAGGACAGCATACTCATATTAATGTTATATAAATAGGACAGCATACTCATATTCATGTTGTATAAACGTGGCAGCATACTCATATCAATGTTGTATAAACAGGACAGCATACTCATATTAATGTTTTATAAACATGGCAGCATACTCATATTAATGTTGTATAAACAGGGCAGCATACTCATATTAATGTTTTATAAACATGGTAGCATAATCATATTAGTGTTGTATAAACATGGCATCATTATCATATCAATGTTGTATAAACAGGACAGCATATCATATTAATGTTGTATGAACAGGACAGCATACTCATACTAATGTTGTAAAAACGGGGCAGCATAATCATATAAATGTTGTATAAACATGGTAGCATAATAATATCAATGTTGTATAAACAGGACAGCATACTCATATTAATGTTGTATAAACGGGACAGCATACTCATATTGGTGTTGTATAAACAGGACAGCATAATCATAGTAATGTTGTATAAACAGGACAGCATAATCAGATAAATGTTTTATACACATGGCAGCATACTCATATTAATGTTGTATAAACAGGACTGCATAATCATATTAGTGATGTATTAACAGGACAGCATAATCATATAAGTGATGTTTGAATATGGTAACATAATCATGTAACTGTTTATAACATTGCAGCATAATAAGATAAATGTTGTATAAAGATAGCAGCATACAAGATTAGTGATGTATACTCATGGTTATAAAATCAAATTAGTGTTGTATAAATGGGAAAATGACATTGATATAGTGCCGTATAAACGTGATGATTTGATGATTATTTAACATGAAATCTTATTAGATTAATGTGTCTATAAACAAAGCCGCATTATATCAACATTGCTATATAATTATCGAGGTGTATTTTCTGCTTGACTGGCCACTCGTCATAGACCAGTATACAGGCTGTTTCACGACATGTGGTATATGATCTTCTCTGCACTGTCTATCAATCTTATTTAGACCTGTATACGACAGCTTGATATGAAGTGCCAATAATGAAGCTAAATACCCAATACAATACCTACTGATTAAGAAGATCTCAGTCTGGTTCTGTAATAGTTTGCTATCATAGTAATTTAACTGATACACGGTCAATATCATGAGAGTTAGTTTGTCAGTGATAACATCCCAAACATATGGTCTCCTATTATGTTTAAAATGTCATTCATGAATAAAATGTATATTTATCTGAATCGACAGTCACATTGAACACTAATCAATGCTTTTTGGATGAAATAATAGTGATATTATGTTTTTTTCACATTTTCTTTACAGTTATGACTATATCTCAACATGACACACAGTTGGAATAGGATTTAATCACAATACCAATGAAAGCTACGGTTTATATATAATAAACATGATTAATTGTACCATAATTAATAAGCGACAAAACGATGATAACATGACGACATGTAGTGAACCTTAATGATAAACAATTAATCACAGTGATCTTAGTCTAGTCCTAAAACAAGTATATACACTCGCACACAACGAAACACATTGGTGCATGATCAATTCGTTAAACAAATAGAAAAGGAAAGCATGTGATATTTAAATCAATATTGACTTGTAATTCTTAATATATAACGTTTGTTTAGATTCGAGAAATGGTTAATAAAGAAGACACAGCTCAGGGCGAACAGCAAACGCACAAATACTAAATGCATGCTGCCGTCATGTTTAATTAATCACACGGGTTTCACTATGTTCTGTTTACCCTTCGGGGATCAGTATCCATAGGTATTGGAGATCGTTGATTGACCAAGCTTGCTACCCGTCCTCACACAGCTACCGTGCACCAGTCACCGACCCGGCGGATATCTACCCCGAGTAAGGTAGGCGCAACATTTTTGTCGTTTTTCCAAGATAGTAACTGTAGTATTTATGACTTTTTTTTATTATCTATTGAAATTAAGTGGATATTACTTGATATATTTGTTCATTTAAAATGTGATATCAATATATATTATTTACAGCGGCGTTATTCCTCTAGATGTGTTTCTACTTTGAGTAGTGGAACGGTTCGTAATACATTTACTCATCATTGATTAGAAATTTACCAGTTCTCCTCTTATTATTGCAATTAATGTGATTCATATCATTCCTATAATGAAGCAGTTTACGCCCCATCCCCACTTCCCCCTTGGATTCATACCTTTTTTATCCTTAGCATCACAAAGGAGTCTGTTGTATGGTGCAACGTTATTCATATATTTACACAACTATGTATTTTCAAATGGTATTGATGCAGTCAGTTGTGGTTTTCTTTCCACGTATATACATCTCGCTAATATTAGAGTAGTCCCAGGTACTCGAAACATCTCGGAAACGGACGAAACATGTCCAAGTGCAATTAAGTCGGGTTCAGAATACATGAAATAGTTCGAATTATTAGAGGTCGAACGTTGCAAACCTTTTATATTTTAGCGCCGATTTTCCCGGTATTTTGATACACATTTTCGCCAATTGCATGTATACTGTATTTCATTGATTTGTTGATACAGTTTTTCGTTGTTAAACATACGTTTATTATGTATTTATAAATTAACAAATCACGATCGATTTGTGGTATTAGCCCTATTCAATGTCGTTTTAAATATAACCAGTAATAGTGGAATCAATTTTCTGACGTATCACCATAGTGACAGTGAAATCCAATTATATAATACCAGAAATATAAATTGTATGTCTAACCGATGGTGTTTCAGTAATTGAGATCAATCGTTGGTTATCACTATTCCTTATTCACTAATAACCTTTGATACTGTAATAAGTTGATATTTCATTGTATTGATTTGACATTAAATGAGTTGTAACCATTTTTACACATTCTATTAGTAAGCATCGACTCGGCCGCATCACCGACTTACTCGTAGCGTCAGCTCACATGTAAAACCTGCTCAAATGTAACATCGTCTCACCTTCTTCATTGACTCACGTTCAACATTGACTCGGCCATAACGTCGACTCGCATACAATATTGACTCAAACATTACATCAACTCACATGTAAAACCAGCTCAAATGTAACATCGTCTCACCTTCTTCATTGACTCACGTTCCACATCGACCCGCCAAGAACATCGACGCACATGTAATATTGACTCACATGTTTTATTGTCTATCATGTAATACCGATTCACCTAAAACTACGACTCACATATAACATCGACTCAACGTAATATCGGATATATTAAATGACACAACTTATTCCTATAAACTGTTTGATCATTATTACGTGGAGGTTGGTGATTTATTTTTATTATGACGTCCCTTCATTGGTTATGAAAACAACACATTATATTCAATGTAAGATTAAGGACTTAAATTTAGGTGAATGTTTAGTTATACGGACCTGAAAAGTTAAACTGACCTCGAAATCGTCGCGTTCGCAGGTTAATAAAACAACATATTCACCTCAAAAAAGTACCTAATTGATAAATAGATATTAATCTGTAACATCGACCCACATGTAACATCGACTCACATGTAACATCAACTCAAATATAACGTCGACTCCAATGTTACGTCGACTCACATGTAATACACCTAGAATATGCTCACATGTAGTGTCGACTCCAATGTTAAAACTCCAATGTTACGACTCCAATGTTACGTCGACTCCAATGTTACGACTCCAATGTTGCGTCGACTCCAATGTAACGTCGACTCCAATGTAACGTCGACTCCAATGTTACGACTCCAATGTTGCGTCGACTCCAATGTTACGTCGACTCCAATGTTACGTCGACTCCAATGTTACGTCGACTCCAATGTTACGACTCCAATGTTGAGTCGACTCCAATGTAACGTCGACTCCAATGTTACGTCGACTCCAATGTTGCGACTCCAATGTTACGTCGACTCCAATGTTACGACTCCAATGTTACGTCGACTCCAATACTACGTCGACTCCAATGTTACGTCGACTCCAATGTTACGTCGACTCCAATGAAACGACTCCAATGTTGAGTCGACTCCAATGTAACGTCGACTCCAATGTTACGTCGACTCCAATGTTGCGACTCCAATGTTACGTCGACTCCAATGTTACGACTCCAATGTTACGTCGACTCCAATACTACGTCGACTCCAATGTTACGTCGACTCCAATGTTACGTCGACTCCAATGAAACGTCGACTCCAATGTTACGACTCCAATGTTACGTCGACTCCAATGCTACGACTCCAATGTTACGACGACTCCAATGTTACGTCGACTCCAATGTTACGACTCCAATGTTACTTCGACTCCAATGGTTCGACTCCAATGTTACGTCGACTCCAATGTTACGACTCCAATGTTACGTCGACTCCAATGTTACGACTCCAATGTTACGTCGACTCCAATGTTACGTCGACTCCAATGTTACGACTCCAATGTTACGTCGACTCCAATGTTACGACTCCAATGTTACGTCGACTCCAATGTTACGTCGACTCCAATGTTACGACTC